GTAAATAAATAAATAAATAAATAAATAAATAAATAAATAAATAAATAAATAAATAAATAGATAAATAAATAAATAAATGAATGATTGAATGTGTGTGAATGAATGAATTAATTAATAAAAAAAAAAAAATAGGAAGAAAAAACAAAACTTGTGTCGCAAAATTCGACAGGTGACGACAAATGCGGGTAACACGTATGCGTGCGAATAAAAAAAGAGAAAAAAAGAAAAGCATTCGATCCTATCGATGGTCGAAAATCAAAGCCGTGTAATAAATATCGTTAAAAACTAATGTAAAGATGAAATATACTTTACATAATACTCGCGCGGATAAAGGAGAGAAATAATAATAATTACAGTAACAATAAAAATAATAATAATATTATGAATATTAATAATAATAATAATTAATAATAGTAATTATACAAAAAAAATATAATTGCAACCTTATACTACTGTAATAAACCTAAAGAAAAAAATTTTCGTGATCGGATCAACAGTAACAACAATAAAAAAGGAACAAAAAAGAAACAAAATAATTAAACATAAAACAAACTTCTACGCGTTCATATAATTACGACATACACTGAACTATTCAGTCAGCTGTAAGTAAATAAATAAGATAAAATTATAACAAATATTATTATAATAATAATGAAAAAAAAGAAGAAAAGTGCACGTTTTTGCAATTTCGGCGCACTAATGGATGATGAGAAATGTACATAGTGTATACATATATATACACAAATATAAAAAGATAAAGAAAATAATAAAAATGAATGAAAGAAAAAAGATATCAGCATAAAGTTTAAGTTAGATAAAAAAAATAAATCATTTATTATTATCTTTCAACGTGAATTACGTTAAAAGAAGAGATGCGAAACTCTTTAAAAAAAAAAATGACACGTGTATAGGCTGTCTTTATTATTCGTGTGGCCAACGATCGTCGTCGAATCGCTATTTCAATAATTAACGATGGACGAAACGATATTTTGTGGATAATAATAATAATAATAATAATAATTATAATGATAATTATAATAATAATAATAATAATAATAATAACAATAATAATTATTATAATTATAGTAATATTATAATATTAATATTAATAACAATACTTTTTTCGTCAGCCCTGTTTTCACAAAAAAAAATTGGATAAATTGAAAACGAAGAATATTCGTTGCTAATTCACTTTTCTTTTGTATGTTTTTTTTTAATAATGTTTTTTTTTTTCAATCACAATTATTTTATCAAAATAATTTTTTTTTATTTCCATGCATGTTATTTAAAATTATTCCCATTAATAAAATTTGATCTTCGAAGAAAGGAATGATGCAAAAATTTTCTTTTATTTTTCCGAGATAATTATTTGAAGTTTAATTAATTGATCGATTAAAATGATTAATTGATTGATTGATTGACTGATTGAATTGTTATATTTGATCGTGCGCGTTTCGCGGGCCACAAAGATGAATATGTCTATTATAAAGATTAACAAAAATAAATAAAAAAATAATGAATATAAAATTTGTGGTATATCCGTGTTATACGGTAGACATATTATTAGTGTATGCTCGTTTAGGATATTCTGATAACGAAAATATGAGAAATTAAAATTAAATAAATAAATAAATGAATAATTAAATAAATAAATGAATAAATAAATAAATATAAAATATATATATATACATATATATATACTAATTGATAATATAAAACAACGTTATTAAACATTCGTAAATCTAAAACATACGAGAGAGAGAGAAAGAAAGAAAGAGAAAGAGAGAGAGTACGGTCTACGTTGGACCAGTTTTAACAGAAATCAGATTTCTATATCGATCGATGTCTTTCAAAAAAAAAAAAAACAAATCATAAGTTCGTATCACGTGACCTTTGACTCGTTTTTCTTTTTATGTTGTTTGTGACTTATTCAAAACTTCGTTAGTTTTTTGTGATTTCTTTAAACGCGTGAACACAAGCGATTTTTTGTTATTTTTTTATAAATACTTTTATTATTATTATTATTATTATTATTATTATTATTATTATTACTATTAATATTAATGTTATTATTATTATTATTATTATTATTATTATTATTATTATTATTATTATTTTTATTACCTTGTTCTTTATTAATTAATTTTCTTTTTTGTTTTCTATTTCTCGCCGATAAAGTAAGAAGAAATATTTGATTTTTAAGCGTTTAAGAAAAACGAGTTGATATGCGAGCGTTCGTTAATTTGTCTTGCGTTTTAGTTAGGACTCTTTCAGCGATACCCGTTAAGTTTTCTGCGCGCGTGTTATCCAATGTACGAATTTTCATATTTCTGTATGAATTAAAAAGAAAAGATATAAAAAGATAAAAGATTAAAAACCAAAAAAAAAAAAAGAAAAAAAAAGAAAAGAAAAAATATCAATGAAAAAAATCGATTGTTATTATTTTTCTATATGTACACTATATTCTTCTATTCCAATGGTGCTATACGATAAAAATAATCAAAGTATTTAGTTTTTAATTTCAACATTTTCATAATTTTAAAAAAAAAAAAAGAAAAGAAAAGAAAAGAAAAAAGATCTTCTATACGTACTTTCGGGTATCGTTGTACGAACTTGATTGTTTTATTAGAAAGATAATATCTGGATTGAATAGAAATTGCTATATAGGAACAAAATAAAAAATAATGATATACATATATATATATGAAAATAGGGAAAAGAAAATAAATTAGGAAGGACTTTTCTGACTTAAAAAAAAGGATAATAAGAAAATTCAATGAAAGAAGACCGATACTTTAAATAAAAATAATATCTAGTATGACACTGCGGGGTTGTTACCATGCAAAAAAAAAATACAAAAGGAAACGTGAAAAGTTATCAATAAATGCCTAAAATCGATCTCTTTTTTCCTGTTTATGTAAAAACCAAAAACAAAAATAAAATAAAATAAAATAAAATAATATAATATACAAACAAATGAACGAACGAAGAAGGGCTTGTATGAAAACACGTGCCATAAAAAGTGTTTAGATAAATGACTTCGAAATCTAATGCGATTAACGATGGTCGTTTCTATTTGTCTTCGACGAGTCCCTCTAATAAACAAAATGGTCAGAGGAGGATTAAATAATTAAGTTAAAGAAATTGTAAAAACAATCGATAAAACAATTCCATGCGAATGATTTTACGTAAAGTATAGAAAAAAAAAAAAGTAATTATAATAATATACATATAAAAACCGAAAGCAAAGAGGAAGAAAGAAAGAAAGAAAGAAAAAAACCTTCCTTTACCTTTTGTTATGATAATTATTTGTAAATTAAACAATTTTTAGCGAATGTGTGAAGGAGATGTTCGCGAGTATGCAAAAGCATGAAAATGAATGTTTGAAAGTGAATGAAAATTGATAGAAAGAGAGAGAGAGAGAGAGAGAAAGAGAGAGAGAGAAAGAGAGAGAGAGAAAGAGAGAGTGAGAGAGAGAGTGTAAAACTTACTTCGATCTGTGTATGTTCGTTTTTCTGTTCTTATTTTTTTCTTTCTCTTTTTTTTTCTTTTACCTTTTGCGAATTCAATTCATTTTTTTTTTGTATACAACTTGCAGTGATTTAAACGTAATCCTGATTTGTTTACCTAATCATAATAATAATAATAATAATAATAATAATAATAATAATNATAATAAATAATAATATTAATGATAATAGAAATAATAATAAGAATAATAATATTAATAATAATAATAATAATAATAATAATAATAATAATAATTAGTTAATTATTATTACTATAATATAAATATTTTTTATTATATGGGCATTTCAGTTCCTAAGTTGGAAATAAAAATATCTACTACGAATTAAGTGACTTGATACTTCGAAGAACCAAAAAAATATACGAGTATATGATATTATAAAAAATATATTTTCTAATAATTTGTTTATATAAGAAGTAATAAGAGTACGATAGGTAAGTGAGTTATACATATTTTATAGTATTAATTGAATTTGTTGTTTCTTTCTACGTTAAATGTTCCGAATTTTGTTTTTGTTTTAATATTCTTGCTCGTTTAATTGTAAAAAAGAAAAGTTGTTTGAATCATTGTACAAATCTATAATTTATATTATCATTTCATATTTGTAAATAATAAATAAGGCCATAATTGCAAACGATTATTGTTATTATGTAAAGTACGGGTTTTATGGTAAATTTGTGTAACGTACGATTTGAAAGGGTTAATATCAGACTTTTTTTTTTTTAACTTACTTTGAAGTTGCCGCCACGAGTGATGATTTTTTCTCATTGGTCGGGTTCGCACGATGTCGCGAACACTCCTTGGTGTGAAAGGACTGAAATAGAAGAAAAAAAAGCATGGTAAAGCGGAATGCATGTAGCATGTGCCGCGAAATTTAAAATCCCTTTACTGCAGCTATAAAGCGATAACCTGTTTAACCAGTCCAGCAACGAAGCAACGAAGCGCGGGATGTTTTACCTCGCAAAATTATTTCTATTCGGACCTTTTTTACCATGCTTTATTTTTCTTCAATCGTATTTAATTTTTCCTTATCTTTAAGCAACTATCTACAGCTTATTTCACAAAAAATCTATTTCTTCTTCTCTGTCTAACAGAAAAGTATATTTTTCTTTATTTTTCATTGATCTTCAAACAATAAAATCGTAGAATATTTTTTTAATTTCGAATAAATTCGGGGTTGATGAATTTTTAAACAAAAGTTTTGTGTTTTATGAGATATTTATACTATAGTGGGACGATAGAATAATAATAAAAGTATAAATATATAAGATTGTTGCAAAATATTGAACCGAAAAAGGCTTTTTTACAACGTCGATAATGTAGAAATATATCTCATGGTTTCATTATCCGCTAGGGTTCGCTGAATGAAATCATATATTTCTATAGACAGTGCCATTTTGTTTTTTAATTGGGCCACGAGTAATATAGAAACTTAGCAACACTCTAATT